CTCGCCCACGTAATGCACGAAAACTATACATATAACAAAACAATTATTAGAAAGGATATGAATAAGGAATAAAAGTCATAATGACAATATAACAAAATCCACGACAAAATATTTATTCAACAGTTCATCTGATACATATCCTTATTTCAAGGATAAATTTTGTTGATGTCCTTATATGGATATATTTTCCCTGTATAAATACATTCTCCATCGAAAATCCTTTCGAAAACATAAATATAGTTTGTAGTTACGATTCTTAATTCTCAAGATATAAGCAAAATTAAGGGTATATGAAAGCACATACATACACACATATATACATATATACATTTCCTTATAAGATATAGTTTTCTTTATGAAATTATATAAACAACCCCGATAGAAACATATTTTATCTCAGAAAAGAAATTCTACGATTTAAATTTCGTTTAATAAAATTTATAAATAAATAAATTATTATATTAACAAATAATTATTATAAAAGATTTGGATAACACACAGGAAATCCTGCAACTTACTTCATTACACATACCTACCTAACTCGCACCGTTTAAAAGATATTTAAACAATTATATACTTCCTTACATACACTTACCTCAAAAACTCAAATCAGTTCAGCAAGCAAATCTCCGTATATAAATTAGTTCAACTTCTAGAAACCTTCATCCTAGACTTATATTTATAATTGTTACTTCCTTTTTGTCATTAACACTAATCCTATGGCTATGACAAAAATCTTGAATATTAATATGCATGGAAAACTACCCTAACGATTCAACCAATCACAATCAGAGCATTTTGTACCTGAAAACATTTAATAAATAATGTATTACAAATGTAAAAAGAGTTATACTGATGTATCTTAGATATACTAATTATACGATGTAATCATTATTATTATAAAAATTGTAAAGTATATCTAAAACGATATTGCGATGATTAATATTTATTATAAAAGCTTAAATTCAAGCAAACTATATGTTTGTTAATTATAAGAAAGGAATTATTATAACGAAGTATAACTCTTTGAAAACAAAAATAGGTCGCCCGAATAGTCATAAGTGTGACTCATGATCAGTTTGTAAGCAAAAATAAGCCAACGTTAAATGTCAAGGCCTCCATAATATTTTAATACCATGAGTCATCGCTGACTCATAGTAAATGTAGGCTAAGTCGACCAATAGAAAACTATGTCAAGAACAACTAGAAGGTCTTAAATGCGTGAATCATAGCTGACTCATAATGAAAGGCTTTATTCAGACCTGTAGAATCATAACATTGGAATTTAGGTCACCCCTACTTCCATGTTTTGGCAACATATAAAAACCTCAAGCGACGATAGCTGTGCGCATTCATTCGTACGCATTTCCCATTTCGCACTTACGATTCACATCCACGGACACTTACATATTTGCATTTATTCGCATTCGCATTCGCACTTGTACCCACACTTACATTTTTGCACTTGTACTTCCACTCGCACTTGCTAAATATATATATATATATATATATATATATATATATATATATATATATATATA